GCGCAGAACCTCGGGCGCCGTCTCCCGGAGCCCCCTCACTGGCCGGGCCTGAGGGCGCGGGGTCCGACCCGCGCGTCGGGGCTTCCACACCCGCGAACACCGCTAGCGGCTCGCGCCCGCGTCAGGGGCCAGCCCGCCCAGGCCGGCGGAGACGCCCGCGGCCGCGTGAAGGTCGTCTGCAGACGCGCGGCCCACTGCCACACCGAAACCCGGCGGCTGCCCCTCCCACGCCGCCCCCTGGGGAGAAAGGGAGGCGACGACGGGGAGAGGAGCGCGGAGGGACTCACCGCGGACGACCAGCGGCCGCCATGCTCGCAGTCACTGCGCAAGTGCGAGCCCCGGTCCCCGGATGTGCGTCCTCGGCCGCCCCCTGCCGGGGTAGGAAGAGGGGCGCAGCAGGGCTTCTCTCCTTGCGCTTCCTTTTGCTGGCTGCCCTCTCTATTGGTGAGGACGCCCGTGCATCCTGCAGACACTGGTCTGCCGCGTGTCCTGAGGCCGGCCCTCGCTGTGCTGCTCAGGCTCCGTGTCCTCCTTCCCCTACAGCTCCTGCACCGCACCTACAGCTCCCTCCAGGCATGCTAAACCGTGCTGTCTGTGCATGTTGTGCAGCTTTAATTTTATTTACTGCACAACTTGCCAGAATGTTTTTACATCATAATTGGCTTTATTTTGAGAAAACTACATTAAAATTCAGCTTGGCACATAAGTAATTTGGAAATGAAGCAAGCTACATGTTATATGTTCTCAACATAGAAACCAGACCAGAATCCAATTATTAAAATTTATGAGCCTTTTATTACCGGGCCCAGGACCATTTGACCATACTCACGCGGGAGAGGACAAATGGCGAGGAGCCTTGGAAGTATAGAGGGTTTTTTATTTCATTTTATTTTTTATTTTTTCTGTATTTTGGGAAAGGGTCTACAGGATGTTCAGGGTCGCACTACTAGATCGGACTGTAGTGATCTGCCTGTTTACAGCCTCCCAAAATCACAGGCCACGTCACTACACCCAGTCTCAATTGCTGTCTCAGCACGCCCCAGGAGTGGGGCTGGCATGGCCAGCGGGGAACTATTTGGCCGGCCCAAAAGGCTTTAGAACTAGAAACCACATCCTGTTTGGCAAACAAATTGGTCATCTAACACGGACAGAACAGCACCTTTAGGGACAGCGTGACCATTGCTCAACATACATTCCTTTTGGGAGCATTGTTTAGTTTGGTCTTGCCTACCACAGCAATGCTTTTCAGTTGGTTAGCAACACCTTAGCTTAAAGGAAATGTTCATTAAGTGAAAAGGGAGGGTCAGCCAGATAGCTCAGAAGATTAAAGTGTCTGCTTAGGCAGACACAGGGCCCTGGGTTTGATCCCTGGCTTGCCATGCTAGCCCCACCCCGGGGCACACTGAGAAGGTGATTGAGACTGGTCATGGTGGCATGCTCCTGTAATCCCAGCGCTTGGGGGGCTGAAAACAGGAAGATCACAATGAGCCTGATCTGTGTAGGGAAACCCTGTAGACCCAGTACTAAATATGTTTTTAAAGCAAGAAGAAAGAAAAGGGGGAAATAGCATGGGAATACACGTATATAATTAGATTAATTAAGAAAGCTCTATTTACATTTAAAAAAAACATTTTTTTAAATAACTGCCAGATGGATCTTCTGCTGCAGACTGTCACTAGACAAAAGAAACACTGGAGAAGTGATTTGGGTGCCAACTTGACCAAACCTAGAAAATGAACAAAAGCAAGTATTATGAGAGAAAAATCATACCAATTTCTTTCTTGCTATGGTGGTTTTGCTGTCACTTCTGGTAACTGTTAAAGGTAATTTTAGTTATTGGGCTGGGATGTTACTATACCCATATAAGTGAATGAAAGTTCCTGGCTACCTGGCTCCTATCCTGCCCGGGAACCAGCAGCACCAGCAGAAAAGGAAACTAAAATTCCATTCAACAAGATTGGAGTTTAACCTCACTATCTGTCTGAATATCAAACATTTTAGGCATAACATGGAACAGGTATTTTCCACCAATTATTCATATGTTAAACTTTAAGTCGCTACAGAATATGGAGGAAAAATTTTTTAAAATGAAAAATATTTAAAGAATATGAATAAACAATTACATATTTTTACACAGAAATTAATGCCTAAGATGTTTCACATTCAGACAGATAGGTTAAACCCAACTGCATATATTGTAGGGTAATAATGAGCTTCTCTTCTGGAGGGTTAACAACCTAAGTTTGCAGAACAAAAATTAGAGAAATAGAAGGGCTGCAAGGACAGCCAACATTTTGACCCTAGCCTTTCAAGGTCAGTGAAGACTCAGGACATAGGAGAACCTATACTGTAACATCATGTAACTCAGTTGTGCCCCAAATCTTCTGATCAAGGAGATTATGGGGCCACAGAGCAACGTGATCGATGACGTAGAGTGTGTCTAAGGAGAGTCACATGGAGAGAAAACATTCTCTCAGGTTTTCACAGAGAGCAAACTGGTCAAGCAATGGCCATGACTCATCCACATGGCTGACACTGACAAAGGATGTGCAAACTGCTGTACAGGGTTACAGGATAAAATCCTGAGGGTACTTGAGTGACCTTATCAGATACAAAAGTTACATTACTTGTTATATAGGTCTTGCTTTATCTTCGTCTTAACCGTCCAGCAGAAAAGTATAAAAATGAGACATATAAAGTAAAGCCATATTAATAAACTGTGAAAGGCTCAAGTCAACAACTTCTGCAGATAACCCACTACTATTGTGGACTGCTGGACTGTTTTGAATTGCTTTGCTGAATTCATGCACCTATAATATTTAGATGCCAATGGAATACCCATCTCTGACAGGACTAAACAAAAAAAGGGGATACAAAGGAAGGACCATTTTGTATCTATATACAGAATAGTTAGGATAGATATACAGCTACTTTCACTTAATTCAATAAGATTTGTACTAATAGTGTTTGGACAGGATATCATGTCTGCATCTTGTACTATGGATAACCACTAAGAAGATAACAATGTACAATGTATTAATTATTGAAACTGTCCTATTAATCAGTTTTGAAACTGTCTCATTGCTATTTGTTTCTCAATAAAATAAAAGATTGGAGTAGAAGGCTGGCCTATTGGGAATGGAGCTCATTGTTTAAAAGCAAGCACATGAGTCTGGTTATCTATAGTAAATAATAACACTGGGGTTAAGGGAGGAAAAAAGGGACTTTTTCTTCTCCAAGGAAGAAATTTTAAAGGTGTACAGTTGCTAATGGAATGTTTCCACCACCAGATCTGCCACTCTGCCAGAATACCAGTGTACATCAGCATGGTAAGGTTATATATGGAGAAATCGATCCTCCTACAATTTACATCTAAATTTTAAAAGGAACAAAACACATTTTGCACAAGCGTGTGTTCACATTCCTTACCTGTTGCTTGTAGGACCCAGTTATTGGAATCCTCTAACTACATCATTACATGTCACAATTGTTCTTTATATACGTGTCTAAATTCTTCTATTGGCCTTAATTTTTTTAGGGATAGCATTTATATTCTCAAGGCAAGGACTGGAATTTGGCTTTCTGTACAACTATAATGCCCGTGGCAAGACTTCTTCCATGCTCCTGCCCCAACATTTGCTGGACGCACTAAAGAAGACAACAAAAAGAAAGATTGAAGGGAGCTGCTGGCACCCTGAGCAGCCAGAAGCCAGAGTATGAGCCCCCAGCGCGGACTCCGGCACGAGTTCAGGAGCTGCAGCGGCAGTGGCAGGGGCTCCGGAGGAAGAGAAAGAAAAAGAAAAGCCAGTCCTTTCTGCAGCTGATGGTTTAATTGCCTTTTGATGCTAATGTTTCTGGAAGAACTTTGAATGCCCAGGGACTTTCAAACCCTGCTGCTCATAATCTTCAGTCCTCTTCTGATCACTTTAGAACTAGGATTGCCAGAGATCCGGATGCAGTGCAGCACGTGTACCCAGGAGTACATGAATCTATCTGATACCACTCCAGAGTAGGGCTCCATTCTAGTGCAAAACATTGACAACGTGAAGACTGACTTTCTAATTAAAATCATTGCTAACCAGGGCAAGGTATGGCTTTCAAACCTCTATTGAAATAGCATATTTTTAAATGTCTCTTGAAAACACCATGTACCTGCATTGATTTTGAGATAGTTTCTGTTGCCATTGAGAATAAATGAAAATACATCAGGAAAAAAAGAATGATTGAACTTGTGATAGCCATAATTTTAGGAATAACAGCAGTCACAGCCACAGCTGGTACAGCTGGAGTAGCATTGAGCCAAGGGGTACAAACTGTTCACTTTGTGCAGTAGGAGCACAATGACTCAGAATAGTTATGGACTTCACGACATGTAGATTCAGAGTTAAATATTAAGATACATGATTTAGAACAAGCTAGGAGATCAAATTGTTAATCTACAATGTCAACTTCGTTTAAACTGTGGAGGGGGCTGGGGAGATGGCTCAGTGGAATAAGTACTTCTCTGGGAAGTGCAGGGGCCTGAATTCAATCCCTAGTTCCACCCAAAAAAAAATGTGATTGCAATACCTCTTCATTCTGTGTAACCCCAATTCCATGAAATCAAACTCATTTCCCATGGGAAAATGTAAAAAGGCATTTATTGTATCATGTAAAGCAAAGATTGCTTATTGGGATAAGACTTTTTCTCAAATTCAAACTGTCTTTAACAAAAAACTTGTGCTATGTAAGGATGACTAATACTCCTAGATCCTGTCTCTTCACCAACATATTGACAATACTTTTGCAAAACAATTGTCAGAATTGTCTGATACTGATCTGTTACAAGGCATCTCTAATGGCACTGAAAACCTTAATCCTTTCCATGTTATTCCATGGTTTAGTAGGAGTGTAGTAATGCTTTGCCTATGTTGTCTCTGTACTGTTGTATATCCTACTTAACTGGACAAGGACAAGTTCTGGCAACTATGGATCAACAATCTGCAGTCCTCACATTGATGCTTCAAAAAAAATTTCAGCATAAAAAAGCAGGGAAATATAGATATGAGATAAAAGCCTAATGTCCCAAGAGAGCAAGGAATAAACGGAGCCCAAAGAGAACTGCTGTCTCTTGTAAATTCTGGCAAGCTGGGACTCAAGGCTGCAGATAACAGCTTCTCTGGCTGGTGCCATTTATTGTTTCATCCCTTGCTTTGGATGTTAATAGCTAGCACTGTATAAACTTAGTGTTAGATAAATGCCTGATGTCAATAGAGTAGTTTGTGTTCACCAAAGTAGTAATGCACATTCCTTAGCCTGCCTTTAGCCCTCAATAAATGTGAGACGCTTCTGTGGCTCTT